CACGCCATGCTTGTTATATTCATCATTTCATACTATTGTTATCTCCCTATGATTCTGCTGTACTGTGATATTTGTCATCGAATAAAAGTGTAAAAATGAATTTACGTATCTTTTGGTGTTGCCGCTTTTTATTCCTGAACCAAAGGTACTGTCCTCTTCGGAGGGCCTATTTTTAGTTTTCTTAGCTACAACTCTAAACTTTTTACTAGAAAATTTGCCTGGTAAATCCTGAAGTTTTGTGCTGTTGTATATTACCTGCATACCGTGATAATTATATAAAAAAATATTTAGAAAAACAGGGAAAAAAATCGTCACACCACAAGAATTGCTGGATAGTATACAACATCATATAGTCATCCCAGCCAAACTTCTCGGTAAGGCGACCGTTACGGCGCAGCCTTTTCGCATAGCCTTAGCCGAAAAGTTTAACTGGGACGACCATAATTGGCGTAGATGTAGAGTTTAAGCTCATCCTGTGCAACTATGTTCATCCCAGCAAAAATTCTCGAGTAATGCGACACGAAAAGGCTGCGCCGTACCGGTCGCCCAATCGAGAAGTTTGGCTCGGGCGACTATAGAACTTGAGTAGTCACTAATTAAATATTCAAAAAGAAAATTTAGTGTGCAGAGCTTTTAGTCACAATCCCATTGATTGGGTTGTCAAGAATATTGCAAATTCGGTGAATAATATATTTTAAGTTTCAATTTTTTGGGAGTCATTATGCTTTTCCTGTGTTTCTATGATAAATGCACGATGACACCTTGATCTCTAGGTAATATTTTGAGTTCCGCTCAGGTTTTCGTAGTGTTAGTATTTTCAAATTCTGTTGATTTAAATGTTTAGGATTCCAATTTCTGGGTCAAAATACATCGCGTCAGTGTACATGAAGCGAAGCTATACAATTGTCAAAATTGTTTGTGTCTGTTTGTGTGGAGGCGAAATGGGTGAATCAGAAAAATGCGCAGAAAGCGGGGCGCCTGCGATACTTTGGGTAGGTCACCCTGCTGTACACTCATGCACTGGTAGAACGATGATGCCTGCCTATCAGGCGCTTTTCTCACAAACCAAGAGAGCAGCCGTGTAACTCCGATACACGGATTTTTTTAAAGCTAAATTAGCTACTGCATACGCTAATATGGCCTAAGAATATTAGATCTCCTAGGTAATTCTTAGCTAGGAGAGCTAATAAATTAGCCATGACAGTTGTCTACAAAATAAAGCAACTAGCTGTAAAAGCTAATATTTTAGCTTTCTTAGCTGGGAATTAGCTAGAAAAGCAAATATTCTAATCTAAGGCCATATTAGCAAAGGCATTAGCTAATTTAGCTAATTTTTTTTTTTTTCCTCATGTAAGTGTGCAAATGCACGCTGAATACTTGCAAGTGTAAATCTCCGAAGCTGTGCACTCGCAAAACTGGTTAATCCTCCCAAAGTAAACTTGAAAAAGCATTTGGATTCTTTGTAATACACAGCATGTATTTCAATTATTCAAATATAAAATAGGCAAAACTGTCCTTAAAAAAACTCTGGTTCAGGAATGAAAAATGGCAACACCGAAAGATACGTAAATTCATTTTTACACTTTTAATCGATGACAAATATCACAGTACAGCAAAATCATAGGGAGGTAACAATAGTATGAGATGATGAATATAACAAGCATGGCGTGGAGCGTCAATTCAGCTACCAGTTCTGACCGTAGCCGAAAGACTGGCCGTAGGAGATGGGTGAGGCGCCCAGGGACGCGGAGCCGAAGTGAGCGCCTCCGAAGTGCGCGCTGCCGTACGATGCCGTGCTGAGGTGGGCGCCGCCGAAGGAGGCGGAGCTGAAGGCCGGAGCGAGGCCAGCACTGCCAAGGGACAAGGCGGGGGCGGCGTTGTAGGCGATAGCCGGTGCGCTGTGGGCGATGACAGGGGCGCTGTGGGCGATCACGGGGGCGC